AAGACAGAAACTCACTCTGATAAAGCATATTTTCTGGAATTACTAAGTTAAGCTGAACAACGGTACAATCTGGAAAGTTTTTCCCTTTTCTGAGAGTGTCTATACTTGGTTACACCTGACTGACATATTTCTGTGTGTATCCTTTTTTAGCATTTGATTATCTTCTTAAGAAATATGCAAAAAAAAAAATGTAAATGGGACTTCCATGGGACAAAAAGTTGTTTTAGTAAAGCAAAGAAATTACAGAATTCATCTTGCATTCAGAGTAAAAATTATCAGCACAGAGTGTTTTTCAAAGAAATGGATGATGTAAATAAGAGGTTCAGAGCATTTTTAAAGTCTGGTACTGCTGCCTTTCATATTCTCATGGTGTGTGTCTGACACAGGCTTTAACAGTACAAGTATACCTGCTGCTCCTCATCTGTCTGTATAACAGTCTAATTTACTGCCACCCCACTTCTAGGTTCAAATTACTTGGCCATGCTAACATTCAGCTGACTGAAACAAAAAAAAAGGAAAAACTCAATTTCCAGCATAGGGGAGGAGAAGGGAGTATACAAGAAAAGGAGAAAGAGGAGGACGAGGAGAAAGAACATCTGTTTGTTGCTGGGACGAAAATAACTGAAAAGTAAGTACATCATACAGAGGTGAAAGCTAGGAAAATAAAAGCAACTATTAGAGGTACATCACAAAAGACAGAAATAAAAGGAAAAGTGGTGGAAAATAGCATATAAACTGAAAAAGAGAAAGAGGATGAAAGTATTATAAAAATGCTCTAAGCAGGAATTTGCTTCTGTAGGAGCTGCGCCTGCCAAGCAGGGACAGAAAGAGAGTATCAGACGAGGTCATGAAAATGTAAACAGCTTTGATGGAATTGAAGTGCAAATGTTGCTTGCACAGGTCTTATCCTCCAATGTAACATTTTGCCTTGAAGGCAACAGGAATGTGGTCTAAGCATCATGGGTGTTCCTCCCCTTCATCTGCTTCCACCGACCTCCTGTGCTCCTCAAAAACCCAAGCTGCGTTCCTGGCCTGGCTTCCTACCTTGCTGCGTGGTAAAACACAATTTTTAAAGGTGTGCTTCTGGTGCTTCCAGCAGGGAACTGGTAACCTGTCTTGCTGTAATCCTTCCTAAGCACATGGGTTATTAAACAGCAAGGAATGCTCTAGGTTGCTCATATAATATGTTTTTGGGTTTTTCAATGTTTGGAGGTTCTTTTCCCTGCACCTGAACATAAAAAATGAAGCAACTGCTCATGAAGCCAGGTACATCTCAATACCTTGAAAATAAAAGTGGAATTCTGTCAGCCTTGGAGAGCTACGTGTCCCACATTAGATGTTCACCAATGATTGTGAATAAACCAAAGTGTACAGCCCTTTTTAGCATACTAAATACTATGTACAAATTGATTACACCATGGACATTAGTTTATTTTCTAGGACACGAAAGTAGGAATGATACATCTTACACAGCATGTAAAATGCAGTACTAATCCAATAGTTGCATATTCTCAAACCCACCACATTCCAGAAAAGCACAGATTGCCAGGGACTAATACAACAGTGCTCCAAGGATATAAGGGCTCTGTACACAGCATCTGTGAAGAGAAGATTAATGAGATTAAGCCATTCCTTCTTTATTAATATATCTACAGAAATGCTTTTTCTTTACAAACTGATAGTGTTCCATATTCATAATACCAAGTTCACCAATAATTTCCATTGCTGAATGATCACAATGAATTTTTAATTTGTTTGTACATGTATTTATATCATGTTCATGTTGTCTTGATAGTGTGTGAATTCCTAGGATCTTAATTCATTGCCAGAACAGCATACCTGAAATACTTTTTGAATGGCGGTGTACTTATACCTTGAAATCTATTAACCCAATTGATGCTTGTAACCAAGTTCTACACCATTCCTTGCATATTTATAAATGGGTGTTTGTACAGATTATAATGCTACCAGTATTTTACCAGTTAAAAATAAATGTTGTATTTCTGTTTGCTGCTGTCTGTATCATGGAAAAAAAAAAAAAAAAAAAAAAAAAAGTAAAGTCTTTTATTTATGCTGTTCTTTCAATAGACATATAAAGAAAACCAAGAAGGCAATATTGACTGTATAGTAATCATTACTAGTGATGCAAGTTCTTCTGTAAAAGATGTAAGGACTGGCAGAAGAGGCAGACAGCTGACTGAAGCAATATTGACCTTTTCAGAAAAACACTTGTGTCTTCTAAATTGATTGTTTCATCTACTACTTTGAAGCTTTCAAAGAAAGCATACTCAGCTTAGGATAAGCATGACCTTTCAGGGCAAGGATCTCATTTTGGGAAATAATGTAAAAAATTCACCCACTTCTTGTTCCTTCCTGTGTGATCCTTCTGCATTTGGAGGAACCAAGTTCAGAATGCTGTTGAGCAGAATTTGTACCAGGTACAAGTGTCCAGGTCTTGGCAGAATATGCTGCAGGAATGGGCACTGGAGAGGGAGAATGGGTCAGCCCTACACATGCACCCTCAGTGTACCCATTATGGGGCACAGCCAGTTCCTCAGCCAAGATGGTGGCGACTCTGTAATATCACATTTAACATGGGAAAATGCTGCACAATACCTGTGAGGGGGGACTGAGAAAAAATCTGAGGAACAGCCCTACAGACTTCAAGGTGAGTGCAGAAGGAGGGTCAGAAGTGTTCAGTGCCAGAGCTGAGGTTCTCCTGCTCACCGTGGAGGAGACCGTGTTGGAGCAGCTATGCCCCTGCAGCCCATGGAGGGTATGGGGGAGCAGAGATCAGCGCTGTACCCATGGAGGAACCCACACAGAGGATGCAGAAGGTCCCAGGAAGGGAACTGCAGCCCATGGAGAGTCTACCCCAGACGGGCTGTTGCCAGTGGAGGGTAGCCCACATTGGAGCAGATTTTGATGGCAGGATTGTGACCTGTGGGGGACCCACTGGTGTAAGCTGTTCCCAGCGGACTGACCCCGTGGAAAGGGAACAGCTGGAGCAGTAGTGAAGATCTGCATCCTGTGACAAGGCCCCACACTGGTGCAGTTAATGAAGGTCTGTATCCCACAGGAGGGACATGCTGCAGCAGCAGAAAAGTGAGGAGGAAGGAGAAGCATGAAAGAACCGCTATGGACTGATCCCAGCCCCTATTCCTCATATCCCTTTTTGGAGGCAGAAGGAAGTAGAAGTGTTGACGCTGAAGGAGAGCACTTGAGCCCAGGAAGAAGTTGGGGAGGGCTTTCAGGTTTTGTCTGTTTCTCATCATGCTACTCTATTTTTAATTGGCAAATAATTAAATCAATATGCTCCAAATCAAGTCTGTTTTGCCTATGACACTAATTAGTAAAAGATGCCCCTGTTCTTACCTTGTCCTATTAGATTTCCATCATATTTTCTGCCCCTATCCAGCTGAGAAGAGTGAGTGAGAAAGAATGGGTGGACATCTGGCACCCAGTCGAGGTTGGCTCATCAGAGAACTGATGATAATTCATCTAATAGCAACAGATACCTTAGGATGATGCTAGAAAAAGATAAGCTTGGAAAGGATCTCAAGATGTTTCTAGGTCAAACTCCAGCTTAATCAGCTGTGAGGCTAGACAAAGTTTCCTCAGGACATTATTCAGCCCTGCTTTTAAAACTTCAGGTGTTGGAGACTACACAGCTTTATAGTCTCACACAGGTAAATGAGAGCCATCAGGGCAGAATATTGTTTGCATCTATGAATATGCACAAGACAGCCAACAAATCAGACACCATGTTAGTGTGAATGAGGTTTTGAACATACCAGGGCTGTCCAACCACAGAGCATTCTTTAGCACATAACTTCATGAGCTTCTTTAACACAGGGTATTCCTGATGCTCTTTACACCAGACCTATACAAGATTAATAATTTGACCATAACAACAGAGAAAACTCATTAACACTTTGACATTTATTTGGGCTTATACAAAAGCATGACCCTTAAGTTCACAGAGAAAATCTGAGCAACTGAAGAGTTGATGGGTTCTGAGATTATTCAAATACCTACAGAACAAGCAAATATCTCCATTTGCAGGATCATCCTGTATATTTCTTCACAGGTGGAGAAATTCGGTATTCTGGTTAAAGAATACTGAACAGCTATTCAGTTATAATGAAATTATTAACCTTGTCAAGAATTTGATTGCTGGTTAGTTGGGATGTCCAGCTTACTCATGATAACACTTTCTCCATGTAAGCAATTTCCAGGATGTCCTTCTTAGTTTCATTTGCTCAGAACAGCTTGCTTTAATGAAGAATCGTTTTGATTTTGCTCTTCATCAAAAAAGACTGCATTGGCACTACTTTCTAGAGACATAGCCAGAAAACACAATCCCTGAAGGCAACCAGAATCCACCCAGTGAAAGCTGACTGTAAATAAACCAATACCTACTCAAATGCATACTTCAAGCTTAAATTGGTGGCCAGAGAAGATGGTGATTATTTATCTGGGGAATAATCACATTTCTTGATGATAATTGGAGGGAATACAAGAGCTACAGTGACCCACGTGTCATCCCTAGGAAGTCTGGTAGCACTGAATGGGAAAACTCGTGTCAGTTTCAAATTTTCACTGATTGCACCCTTGCGTGCTGCCCAGAGAGTACACCAAAGCCAACTTGAGTTGAAAAAGGAAATGTGTTACATGCTCCTTACATACAATTACAAGTTCTGTTACAAGCTTACTGCACATAGTTACATCTCTGCTGACTCCATGGCAAGTGACAGAGATCACTGCCAGTTCACACCATCTCATCACAGAAGGGTTACAAAGAGATGCCTGTACAGATCCATGCATGGAGGGAGAGTGACAGACATCCCTGGCCTTCTCTAAATACCCACGGAGCTGGAAGGAAACTGCCCAATGTGATGCAGGTTTATGTAGAAATTGATACAAAGACAATTATTTGCGTTGTGAAAATGTATTGACTTGTGTATAAAAATGGCTCTACACAACATGGACCTGTGCAGACCTACACAATGATCAAAGTACCCAGCTACACCTCCATGTCCCTGTAACTAAAGACACAGAACTGTGTATAGCTCGACAGCTCCATGCATACAGAGGCAGAACTGGAGACAAGCCGAGATGTGATTATATCCAGGCACAGCGCTACCCCGGTACAAACCGGGCTGGGACAGACACGGGGAACGCGGCCGGCCCATCTCCCCCGCTCCCCCTCGGCCCCTGGTCCCTTCTGGAGACGTCGAGCAGACGGGGATCTCTGGGAGCAACGGGAGCAGCGAGAGACTTGCGGCGTGCCCTCAGCCCCGCCACAGCCCCAGCACACCCACAGCCTCCCCAGTCCCTTCACAGCCTCCCAGCCCGGCAGCCCCGCAGCGCTGCCATCGCCCTGGGCATCCCGGCGCCCCGAGCCCCGCCAGCCCCGCCAGCCCCGCCAGCCCCCTCAGCCTCTTCCCTCCCGCCCGGCCTCCGCCGCCATCGCCGCAGCCCTCAGCGCCTCAGCGCCGCCGCCTCAGCGCCCCTCGCAGCCGCGGGCACCGCAGCAGCTCCTCAGCAGCGCAGGCGCCTCCCGGGGCGCTGTCCCCCGGGACAGCCCCGGTGCCTCAGCCTCACCGGCCCTTCAGCGCTGCCGATCGCCGGGCCCCGCGGCCCTGAGGGCGGTGCCGGTGCCCCCGCCGCTCCCCGCCGCTCCCGCCGGGCCCGGGGCGGGAAGCGCCGCCCGGCCCGGCCCGGCCCGGCCTCACCCAGCGCGGCCGGAGGGGACGGGCGGCGGGCGCGCAGGGCAGGAGGGCGCGGGGGCAGCAGAGTGCGGGAAGGGGGAAAAAGCAGCGTCTCCCTCTCCCTGTAGCAAAACCCGCCTTCTTAGCCATGGAGTACAACTTTGGAAATTGAAATGGGTTGAAACCTCGCCTCAAAAGTGCAGCTCAAAAGACAGCTGCCCCGAGGAGCGGAGGGAGCGCCGCGGCAGCTGCCGCACCTCCGCAGCCGCTCCCGGCCGCTCGCTCCCCGCTCCTCCGGCAGGGACACAGCCGCGGCCGTGCCCCAGCCGAGGCTGCGGAGCAGCTCCTGCCCAGCCCCGGCCAGCAGCAGCGCTTGGCGGCTCCTGCCGGCGCCTTGCGCTGACTCAGGGCAGCGCGGAGAGAAGGGTGGGCAGCGGAGCCTGGGCCATCCCTGCTGGGCTCACTGGCCTGCCGCAGCCTCCCGTGTCGTTGGCATCTGCTGCCATCCCTCTTCCTCCTCTTCCTCTCGGGCTGCCATTCTCCACCTCTGCCCCAGGCCCCCTTTCCCCATCGTTTCCTGCTGGGTTCCTCCACCTGGGGTAGCCTGCAAGCCTTGACGTGCTCGGTTGGATTAGATGAGCAAATCCTGGAGCCACGAGCTGAGTCCCCTCTTGTTGCAGTCAATGCAAGCGTCTTTTACCTGCTTGACTTGAGGAGGTCGCTGGGGCTTCTGCCGCAGCCAGAGCCTCTGTGGAGCTCTTGCTCTGCTTGCTTGGAGGCAAATCTGGAGGCACCTAAAGCAGAAATTCTGGAGGTGAGAAGTGGCAAGAGACAGGCTGGATGAGGGAGGGAGTAATTGCCAAATTGCCCCCTTAGGGGCTGCCAAATTGCCTCATTAGGGGCTGCTTGGTATCAGCCCCTCTCACACTACACCTGTCCCCAGAGAGGCTGGAGGGAGATGGCATGAGCTGGCATGGGAGCAGAAGCCTCCTCAATCTGACTGCTCCTCCACTGCCACTTACAGTGCATGAGAAAGGGCTGTTCATAGTACCAGAGGCAGTGCCTTGATGTGAACCCCATGCCCTAACACAATGCACATTTTTGATTTGGAAACTTGCCCCCAAGCAAGTGGAAAATGCATATGCAACTGGCATAGGGGAAATATCTAGAGGGACAAGAGCTAAGTCCATCAGCTGGCAGCAAGAGTGGCACATATTTCCTGGGGCACTAGAATTCTTTTTGAATAGGAAGCATACAAGGAGACACCAAATGAGGGAAAGCTTGGGCTTGGTACCCACTACACATGAAAAGTAATCCGTGATACAAATATGGTTTTGGCTTTGAGAACTAGCTCAAGGCAGCTCAATACTCTTGCAGCTGATGGAGATGCAGGAATAGCTTCTGGTCTGCCAAACTATCTGTCTTAATGTCATGGATAAATGAAGTTGTCATCCCATATTCTGCTTTCTGTTTCAGCACAACTGGCCTTTCGTTGGGCAAAGCAAGAATATCTCCACATGTGATGACAAGACAGGTTTAGCACCATTAGAAATCATGCAGATGGGTCATTTTCAAAGGAAACATAAGCTGTAACACTTGTATACTTACAAATTTATTTCTAACACCTGCAGACAGAAGTCGTTGTAAAATTGTTACTATCAAGTCAAGGGAAAATTGTGACTAACAGGTAGCAGGGAAAAAAGGCACTTTTTAGAAATCTTGCATTTTGACTAGTAAGAGTGGCTGCCCACCACTGAGAACTGTGTGCCAGGTTTATCGGCTTTAAAGAGAGTAATATTTCTATGGTTCAGATTTAAGACTCTAGTAATCCCTTTTCTTGCAATTATTCAAACTGTGACATACATCCTGAATGTAGGTTTAAGTCGTGTTCTTACTAGAGATAGGACATGCACACCTCTGATTTTTTTGGTCTCCTCAACATCTTCTCAAGACTTCTGTATGCACTATGTGACATCACTATACATATAACAAGTTTCAATGGTCAGTGGTATAAAGAACCCTTCGACACAATCTGAAATTTTTCTCTAGTTAAAGGACAGAGCTAACCTCTTTTTCTCTTTAGGAAAATAAGACTAACTGGAGTTATCTGTTCCTCTAAGCTTATTATCCCAAAAACTTGGTAATGTACAATTATTTGTAAGTATAACTACTATGTGGAATGCTATTTTTACCCACTATATTTTTTTAACCATAATTTTTTGTGCCTTACTGATATATTTATAATCCTCCTTACAAAGAGGAAGTGAGATTTCAGATCTCACACCTTTTACTATATGAACAGGTTATTTAAATGCAGTGTATGATCTGTGTTGCAGAAGGCTCAGGTCCTTGTATGGCTTTATTTTCTGTGGGCAGTCTAGGCAGCATGACAACAGTGCAAACAGGTGTGTAATATGAATGTTATCCATACTGGGGAGAAGGAAGATCTTTTGCTTAAGTATTTGACTTGCCTGTACCAGGTGCTGGCTTTTAGTCCCTTAGGATTTTGCAAAATAATCAGAAAAGCCTTTCTTGTAATCAGGGAGAAAGCCAAACTGTTGATGCTTGTCTAAGGTCACTCCTGTGTTACTGATCTGCAATTAAATGTGAGAACTTTTCTCTGGGCTACTGAGGCAATGGAAGATTCTCCAGCTGACTGACTTGACTGCTTTGGAATTAGAATCCTGCAGTAGTCAGGCAAATAAATTTAGTACCACAGTAGACAGAAAGAGCGTCACACCTGGACAGCTCTGTGCTGCATGCAGAAGCATCAAAGTTTGTAAAAGAACTCTTTTCACTGAGACACAAAGTGCAAAATATATCCCCTTGTTACCTAAATTCCTCCTTGGAGAGGGATCAAGGTGCATCTCAATTTAATCTTAGCTCTACACTTAGTCAACACTTTATGCCTAAATGATTATACAGCTGTAATACAACCCTTGCACTGATTTGTCCAACACAACTAAGGATGGCAAACCATAATTTATTTAAAACTATTACAGTAATGCTAATTAGTAGAAAATACATATTTTTATATTTATTTATAAAATACATCAGAATTTCCACACAGTATAGATACCTATAACAACTATTGTAATTCACTATTGTTGAAGAACTGTTGAAGCACTGTTACAACACTAAGGCTAGCAAAAACCATTTTTCAGTAGAGATTGGTGTTACTCACCCATACCAACTACCATGGGCAAATCTCTTTCATTCAGTCTCCAGGAGCAGCCTTGAGGTGTACCCTCACTCTAAGGGAAGGATTTTCATACACCTTAGGGAGGTATGCGAGAAGTCTTCACTGTGAAAAAGTGGGACTGGGGTTTTGCAGCGTGACCTAATTGACTAACAGTCATAGATATTTTAGGCTAAGTGTTGCCAGGCTTATTCAGCAAAATATGCTCCTCTTTTTTTAATTAGCTCTTTGGTTTCTTCTGTTCAACATTTCTGACTCTCCACATCAGGGCCTTGCATGGCCTTGCACTGGGTCTGATAGCTGGTCAAGGAGACCTCAGTGTTCTTCAGCACTAAAATCAGTATATCCTCTTTGCTCAGTCTCATCACTGATAAGCAAACCCTGCTTGCTCAATGTATCACTGAACAGCAGGCCCTTTTTGCTCAGTTCATCACTGACAGAATGTAAATATTACTAAGTTCAAGCTGCTGTATCTGGGTTTAGGCAGAGCATCCTGCTACAGACTGACATTTAGAAAGCTTTTTAGAGGTAAAAGTGTCAACTTAATTTTTCAAATATTTTAAAATATTAATATTCTTATTACACTTTTATGGAACTGTTGAAGCTGCATTTTCAACACTGTGCCTGCTATACTTCATTAGAACTTTCCTTCATCTCCTCCTTTGTGTTATTCATTGGATACCGCTGAATGCCAGGCTGTGTGCAGCAGAACAACCTTGCACAGGCCAGATCATAGTAATTATGATAATGAAGTTTTTACAGTATCATCTGGTACCGCTGGATTTTCTGTGTAGATCTTGTGTGAAAATCTACACCATGCTGAGCCTGAAACAGCATCCATCACACAGAATCCGCCAGAATTCAAAGAATTCAGTGCGTCAAATGGCATTCGTAAGTGCAGAGCAGCAGGCAACTCCTAAATTGTGCTTGATTCTAACCTCTGTCTTTGGTGTGACAGGCTTTTGTCTGCACCAGGAAAATATTTGGGAAAATATTTAAGGATTTGTTCTTTAATGAATTGGTCAAGGATGTACCCCGACTTTCCTCTTGATTTGATAGTCACCACATATATTAGCAGTGAATAAAATTCATCATACAGGCTGGCACATTTGTTTTTGTTGTTCTGGTTTGGGGGATTTAATTTTATATTATGCTCCCTCCCCTCTTTGGCTGGCTGTCTTGGTTCACTCCCACTTCTGACCCCAAAGATGTCCCAACCCAGAGGGAGGCTAGGGGGAGGGAAACTTATCAGTTTCCTGAAATTATGCTGTTTGCAGTGAGACTGCAAACACTCATCTGTGTCATCTAAGCAAATACCCAGGTTCTTATATATTGGAGTTCCTGAAGACTTCAGAATATTCAGAAAAATATGCCTTTATTGCTCTGTTTCTGCTATGTGGACATCCCACATCCTGAAGCTGAGTGGGGATGAGAAAGTGAATTTTCCCTACATCAGAATACTGGTTTAGCACTAGAGAAATTTGTAGACAGTGTAGACAAACCTGGCATAGACGTACCATATTCACAAATGATCCTTAAATAATCTATGTGCTGAGACCAACTGGAAGGGGTGCTGTATATATATATGTATATATATACGTGTATATATGTATATATGTGTATATGTGTATATGCATATGCATATATATATATGTATGTATATGCATATGTATATGTATATGTATATGTGTCCTAGTTTAGGGCAAATTTGGGGAAAACCCTCTGAAAGGAGCCCCCAGGAAATAAACTCCCACGGCCCCTCCCCACCCACCTGGTTCAGGGAAAAATTTCCTCTGAGAGAGAAGTGGAAAAGAACCTGCTTATTCAATGAACAAAGCACTCCCCAGCACCAAAACAATTAACAACACCAGATGACAACAAAACTCTTTCACCCCTCTGAAGAGATGAACAAATCCAGAAAGTCTTTCCTGGGAGTGGTCGCCCGGGTCTGGATGCTGGGGATTGCTCTCCAGCACTGGGGATGGCTGCTGCAGATCACAAAATGCAGGCTCCTGGTGTTCCTTGGAGTTTCCCAGATCCCAGTCCAGAGCAGGTTGGATGGTATTCAGGAAGAGGAAAGGAAAAAGCAACAGTCGAGGGAAAGAATTGGACTGCTTAGCTAACCTAACTAGGAAGCAAAGGCAAAAGCAGAAGCAAGCAAAGCAAGCAATCAGGCAAAGCAAGCAAGCAAAAGCCAGACCATG